ATTATTAATATTTTTATTCTTTAATTATTGTATTCTCCTGCTAGTAGACTTTTCTGTGATTTATAAACTGTTGATGTATGTTATACCGTTCTAAGTTACTATTAACTTATTATGGATCTACTATTCAGTTTCTTTTCATATTGATTTATGATCGAGATTTTACTCTATATTACTATATAAGTTTTAAGTCATGATTAAACTGAGTGTAATATATGCTGGCTGCTGACTTTTCCTTGAACTGAAGGCAATAGATAAAGGACTTACAGATAACTGATCAATAAGAGCTTGGTTTCGATAAGTCTTGTTCATTTGAACGCTTTATTCGGTTCTTAAGCTATTCTGTAACTCCAAAGCTCGAACTATACAGCGACCTGAACAAGGAGAAGACGCAAAGTATGCGAGAAGTACTTTAATCCATGGTTCATTTTTGTACAGAAAACATGGGTATTTATTGGTGTCAACATTTGTTAAATCAACATCATATTTTGGCCAATCCGCTAACAGACATATTATGCTACTGACCAATAGTAGCACGCCACGTTGACGCTCCAGAAAGCCCCATCATGCTCTGATTGGCTAGAACTCTTCGGCTCCTTTAGGGCCTCTGGAGGCTCCGTTGAAGTTCTCGGAAAGCCGACTCAACAGGTTTGCGTCAGTTCAAAGTCAAAGATGTAGATCAGACGTACGATTAGTCAAGGGCATTAGGCGAAAAAATAAGTAGACGTGGAACAGAAAAATTTATAATTAGAATTAGGATTGGGGACTTAACCACGTGTTATCGATCAGCGATCTCAAGTCATAACAAACTGTCTAAACTATATTTCAGGTACTTAACAATATAGCAGATAACCAATATCGATAAGTATCAACGCCCTTTCTGATATTGTTCGGGTTTTTTGAACACCCAGAAATCCAAATGATTTATTTGTGTTACCAGAACTCTTTCACTAAAAGATCTTTCTGCTCACTGCATTTGAGTCAAACTAATATAAGATGCATTCATCATCTTAAATCATACGGATAACCATTACCAAATAGCAATAATAATAATAATCTGCCAAACACTAAAATTAAATTAGTTAATTGATCCGAATAAATGGCAAGTAGATCACTGAAATTTGGATCGAAAATACAAATAATCCTGAGTAAGAACTGAGAATATGAAAGGTATATTAAAAAAAAGATTCAATATATTTAAAAATAACATATACCTTGTACTAATCTGAAAATTTTCAATAACACATATGCTCCATTTTATTTAAGATCTAAAAGAAAGTCTCAAAATCACCATGTACATTTAGAAATCCATACTATTTTTGGAACACCATTTTAATTTGAATTACAAATAGACGGTTGATATTTTGATCATATCAAAACTACAACATACCTGTTGATTATTGTTGTATATAGTATATCATATTCCCCTTTAGCTTGTTAAATACCCATCAACTCAAACAACCTACATAGTTCTTTTAATAATCAACAAAGGTCAAAAAACATAGCTTGGTTGCTTATGAGGATATATTCAGTCGTAAGATTTATTCGCTTTTTAAAAGATTTGTAATACATGTATATAAAATCAAATAAATATATAAACTGTAAGAATATCTTTGTTGGAAGAATAACCGTTTATAATATTGAAGAGTGAATTGTTACCCAAATGCGTACAACTGACTTTTTGATAACTAGCCTTAGCTATAGTGTGGTGCGTGCTGCTTATATTGACATAAGTAGTATATAACGCGAGTCAGGAATGCCTGGCAGTAGAAGATTGAGAACATCCATAAAGGAAGAATGGGAATGGAAAGCAATTAGTATAGAAATGCAAGAACAATGAAGTCCGAGACAATTATTGTACATTTTGCAAATAGGGTATTATAGTATGGTTTTTCTATTTTACCAAGTAACTCTGTAATGTGCTAAATATAATTCGGTTGTCCTTACCTGTGTTCTCCTTCACTACAATAGTTGTCTACGTTATTTATTTTAATACCAAGTATCATCCAAATTAAAAGATTAAAAATGATATAAACTAGGTTGGTTTATCCGAAGTCAGTGCATTAAAGTAAGTAGAATTATTATATTCTAACATGGTCTCAATGGAAAGGTTCTTTACTCAAACCATCGAATATACTCTAAAATATCAATCTAAGTAACACAGAATGACTTTGATTACTATCATTAATTTAATTGCTTAGAATGCTATCATTTATGGATTTTACATTGCACATCCAGCTGACGAGTCTCAAATAGGAGGAAACGGAGTCCTGGATTCCAATGCTAGCCATCCTCCATCTCTGCTTATTATTTAAGGCAATAACGAGGCAATCCGAGCAGGATACATATATGCCAACAAGAGACTGTTCGACTGAAGTCTTAAACATTAATGGGAAAATTCAAACAACCAATACAAAATGAATTAAAATATTTTTAAACTGTTTGTAAATTTTCTTCAAGCCTTTATTCAAATAACCTCCAGAAAAAGTTATTCAGTTAGAGGTTAGACAAAAAGCTGTCAAGCATGAACACGCAAAGGTCAGACAAAATAGTAGAACGAGAATGAAACTACTTTAAACAATCAGATAAAATGATTTAAGAGTTCACCCATCAAGATGTACAAACGAACTGCCTACTGGCAATTGTGCCCAGGTGTCATTCGGAAACTCTAGGTAAGCCAGATTCCACGATGAAATCAGCTAGACATAATGAGAACATAGAATAATCTAAACCTATCTCCTAGATAAGGAATGAAAGCAACATAAGCATAAAATGAATGATTCTATACAAGAAACATCAGTAGGTGGCGGAAGTGGATGTGGGGAACGACAGAATTAAATGATAGTTTGTAGTCACTTAGACGTGTAGTAATTCAGATTACTCACCTACTCGAAGTGTTAGCCAGATATAACATCTTTCAGACGTATCGCTTTAATCTCATAGGTTATTTTAAACACCACATAATTGTCCCGATTACTTCCTTTAATAGTATTGCTTTCATATTCGTAAAATTAATAACTTTTTACAGATAAACATTTTCCTTGTATCTACACGAGATTGTATGCATGTCTACGTTTCTGTTCGTCGTACTGAATCCGTGACTGCGATACAAAATTATTTTAAGGGTAAACGTGTAGCCAATTCAAAAGCTTGTCTGAGGATAAGAATGTACGAAATAAGTTTTAGAAGAATTTCGTATCCAATTTTTGATCCTGAGTTGAATTAATGTGACCAGTCAACGACTGTATACGAAGCCAAATAGGAAATTCCACCGCAGTCAAATATGTACTAAAAATGTAGTAAAGAAATTATCTTAAAATGAAATAGTTGTTCAACCCATTGTCTAAAAATATGCGTTCTCAATAAACTCTCGGAGTATGTGCAAACCACCTTTTAATATTACGTGGCAAAACCGCCAATCAGAATATCGACTTTTACGACCTAGTACTCATACGAAACTAATCATACGTCATAATAGTACAGGCAGCCTTGAGTCAAATCTCAGTCTTTATTGGTCCTTCTTGCCTAACACAACCCCATCAGTCCGGAACACAAATATCAGCCTTCACTGTACGAATCATATACTTCAAGACATACGTGGTTCATATACAAGCAGATCAGACCACATCACACCATAAAATGAAAATTATACAAAATCAAACGAAAAGCGACTGTAAGTGCAGGAGACTGTAACCAATAGACTGAGAATAAATTAAGAGTGGTAAATCATATAACAGTAGCCTATAGGTCAAGTGAAAGCTTATGATAAAAGGAATACATATATATATATATATATATATATATATATATATATATATATATATATATATATATATATATATATATATACAATCTAGTTTCTCAATGATATATGTAATAGCAGAACATAAATAACTTCAAGAAGTTACCATTGATTTATTTTTCGTTCGGACATAACAGATAATAAAGGGTTAATCCCCTCAGAAACCACCATAGACAGATAAATATAACCAATAGTTCAAAAAAACCAACCGTTCATACCATTGGACACATATGTGGAGCTTGAGAACAATAAGGCCGTTAAAAGGAGTCAGTTTTAACGCCTGGATTGGAGGTATTGAAGAATATTTTTACCCTTTGTCAGGTCCTCAAATACAAAAACACTAAACGATGTCCTGAATTAATCAACTTGCTTTACCCGAAATTGCATTTCTTTTTTAGTGACGAGAAGTTTGATGGAGTATGACAACAAAAACGAAAAGAACCACTGTACTAATAAACATACTATCTAGACCCATATATGCAAGCACACCGACAAATATGACTTGGTCTGATCCAAACTTCTCCCAGATTAGCTAAGTCACTATCGACATAGAGTACGTAACACATTCCTATTTGATAAACATCCCGATACGATGAAAACGTTTCCGGAGAATTTTGCTGCGTTTCGCAACTCTGTAGGAGACAGGATGCTGCAGAAATAATTACTATACAATAATGGACTCTACGCTACTGGTCACTAACTGAATTACGATATGAATGTAAATTGTTATTTTGGCACTTGTTAATCTACGTTGACTTTGGTACCAGAGATGCACGATGATTTATCAAAATGTAGAGTATTTTGAGGTGGTCTCCTTTAATTTACTTCACAGCTATGCAACACACTACATAAAAATGAAGGATGTGGGTAAACCTGCGCTCGATGAAGAGCCCAGATGAAAAATTCTGAGATCGAAGCGAAATAAAATTGCATATAAGAGTTTGCTCACGGCAAAGGAAAAATCTTATACAGATACTCTTATGCGAACTCGAGTTTAAGACGATTAAAAACCATCCACATTGAAATGATCATATTACTAAACGATCATCAAAATCTTACATCCCGAAACTTGTAATTATTCAGTACGGTATAAGTGTTATATGAATAAATATTGTTAGTTGGGGAAAACGATTTGCAAAAATGATCTTGAAATCAATTAGTATATTTCCTTCTCAGTAATGTCAAAGACTATTATAGTTATAAACAACAGAAGATCAAGTGTGGATAGGTCGCGTCCCATTTCGAATTAATCAGTTCATCATAAACAACGTAGAACCTAGTACAAATGTGTATCGATCTTAGTCATCAAGGCTCAAACCAGCAAAGAAAAAGAAAGTTGATAGGATATGTAGATGGTAGAAAATAGGATCAAATACGAGAAACGAGAATAAATAGACTCATTCACCATGTATTCGAGTATGAACTACACTCTAAGTACGAGGGTTAATTATACTAACTGATCATCCATATCGAAATAGGTGGCAGGAGTTCGAACGTGACTTAGTGGATGGAAGTTAAATACCTTAATCACTAAGCCTCATTCAAATCTGTCACCTTCAATCACATAATTTCCGATAAATTGTGATTTATATTACAATAATTATTACTATTAGAAGCATATATCAGCTTTTCAATTTACATGCAAAGAAGAAAATATTTCAAAAGACAACAACAATCAGTCATAACAGTCTGTCTCTCACGATTAGGTGAGTACAGATATAGACCAATTTAACAGGAAATAAAAGGAAATAAAAAACAAATGAATATTCAACATTGTTAGCTTCACATAAAATGGTTCCCATTTTTAATTATCAAAATAGGTCTATCCAAAAGTGACTATGGGTACATGTATATATATATATATAGGGTTGAAATAAAATGTAATTGTATTTATTGGGGTATTTGTCGAACCATCAAAACTGCAGATGGACACAGGCCTAAACAATAAGAAACGAAAGAGAATAATATTAGTAATTCAATATCTCATGATACAATGTTGATGTTATCATCATAAAACAAAAACAATGAAACCCGAAATTACAACATATCCATATTTTCAGTTTTAAATCACGAACTGACCTTAGACAGATCACCACTGAAAAACAGCACGTACTGAAAATTCTACAATATCCACTAACTTCCCAACTCATACTAGCTTTAAGATGCAATTCGTGGAATTTAAAAGAAAAGTCGTAATCAGCGTAGTTCAGCCATTTTCGATTTGAGAAGGTTAACCACTTCAGACAATGGAAGATGATTGCAGAATATCGTGAATTGACTAAAGTCAGACAGGTGTACTATTAGAGGCCAGCTTAGTAATCTATAGGTTCAGTCTCAAGTTCGGTTCCCTGCGGCGATGCAGTGGATGCTGTACAGTGCTTCCTTGTCTGTAATGGTATTCCATTTGCGATCAGTTCGTGCTTTAAAACCATTTAAATTCTACAACCTCCACAAAACACTACACTGATATCCATATTTCTTAATATATGGGGTAACTGAAAGAACTTCAATAACAAATCTTTCTTTCTACTGTCTACTTCATCGTGTGGAATAGTAAGAGGATTCAAATATATATATGCATTGTAATAGGTGATAGTGTCATCTTAAACCATTTATTTTAATAAATCCCTATAGAGCATTTAAAACTCCTATAAAATAGTACATGAAAGCTTAATAACCAGGACAATAACTAAGAACTTTTTCATGTAGTTAGTGAACAATAAAATCTTTCAATCATAAATACAAATATTCGGGGAAATATGTATTTCGGTTAATGTTTCGCTAGATTTAAGCTTTAAACGACATTTTCGTACTGACCAATAAACATTTGATAATGAATCGTATACCTAAATATTTCTAGCCAATGAATTTAGTATAACGTAATTAAATTAAGGTATGTAGACGATATTTTTATTATCAATAAACGGGATGGTCTGCAAGAACTACTTAACAATGTAAACAGCATTTCTGAAAACATTAGACTAACTAAGGAATTAGAATCAGTTGACCACAAACTAGCATTTCTAGATTGTTTGGTTGAACGTCGACAAAATAATAAGAAGTTAAAAATAAATGTTTACAGAAAATCAACACATTCCGAGAGATACTTGGATTTTAATTCAGCCCATTCACAGAGCACGAAAATTAATGTGGTAAAAAATCTAATGAACAGAAGTACTAAGATTGTTACAGACAAGGAAAACCAACGAACCGAATTAAATAAAGTATTTTCTACTCTTAGGGATAACAACTACCCAAAAAGGTTTTTAAAGAAGATTATTAAAAATGAAAGAAAAACTAAACTAGAAAGTATACAAAAAGAATGGAAGTACACCGTAGTCATACCTTACGTAGTGAAACATCAGAATAAATCAAACGGATTCTAAACAAACATGATATAAGAGTGTATTTTAGAGCGAATAACACATTAGGATAGACATTAGTGAAAGTTAAGGACAAGTTAGCAAAGGAAAAACAACAGAACATTGTGTATGAGATTCACTGTTACGACTGTAATGCTACCTATGTTGGAGAAACATCCAGGCAATTGAATGTAAGATTGAAGGAACACAAACAATGCTTGAAAAATGTTCCCAAATCCTCGGTTGATTTAAAGAAACTTGAAAATGAGTCAGCGATAGCGTTACATGCGTTAGAAACAGGGCACAAGATTAATTTCAAAGGGACCAAAATACTTCAGAAAGGTTTTAACACCCATAAAGAAAGATTGACAGAAGAAGCGCTGCATATATGGGCGAACAAGAACAGCCTGAACCGAAAAGATGGTATTCAACTGGCAACAACTACCTGGCTAATTTCGTTTGATAAGTAAATTTGAAACCTATCTCTTGTTTAAACCTGTTTTTTAATATCACATGCATCGTTATTATTTTTGAATGAATTCAATGAGTTTTTAAACAATACAATTTATGTTTTGACATGTAAATCGATGTTTCATTATTAATTTTTCATCCTTGAACTTGAACTTTATTTATTCCTTCATATCAATCTCTCACACATACATGCATATATACCTACACACTCACACACATACGATTTGTTACTCAGTTAAGTATTTCCATGTAGTTGAATTCTTCACATGATTTGTAGTTAACTGACTCATTTTATCCTATTTTACAAAAAATCAACATCCAAATATGATTGGTTTAACACAGCATAATCCTAGTTGTTAAAAGCTATATATTTCTTTGATAATTTTGGTTTTGATTGTTACCCTGAAGAAGTCCAGACAAGTTAGCTGGACGAAACGTTGGAATTAGTTAAATTTCAATCTCTGAGAATATTTCAAATATAATTTTCACATGTAATTAAATTTTGCCCAGGTTAAAAAATTTAACGATAATCCTCAATGTTGTCTTCTTGATTTCTTTCATTTCCAGAAACTCACCAACATAAAGGTTACATTAAAGTGAAAATTTTATAAGCTATAGCTCAATACATCTGAATTTTTAGTAAATCATTCCAACGATAAATCTTTATTAGGTCCATTAGATACGTCTAGTTTGACTATAATCCAAAAGGGTTCATGATTAGATTTACTTTTTAACTATTTCATGAATGTCTATTTCGTTATAAGGTAGTGGTCAGTAATATAATCTAGAATGTACATTTGATTATATTTGAGGTCTTTTAAATAAACTTACCTGCATGCTGCAGTTGGTATCAGGTTTAGTATTTCAAGAAGAAATTTCCTGACAAGAATCGATCAATTCCATAATGAGAAATATTAAGTCTCAAAAATCAAAATACAATTTGTTTATATGGTTAAACATGAATGCCACTATCTATCTGTGTAGTAGTCATTATAATTATTTTATATGCTATTTGTGAATGAAAGACAGAAGAGTATTAAAAGTGTTTAAACTCACCTAAATCCAGAAGAGATCTATTTCTATCTTCACTAGTAAATTCTTGTTTAGGAAAACTAGTCATCAGCTGAATAGATTGTGGGTCAATAAAAGTTGAAGAATTAGGCCAATTTTGACTAACATATAACATAACGGCACTTAAGGGTTCATTGACACCGAATTCTCCTTTGATTGACTGACCAGATGGTAAACGAATGTGTAGACGGCAAATTGTTGGATTTGTTTTCGGCACTGCAGTTGGTAAAGAAGTTGAATTTGACGGAGCTATCAGTGGTAATTCACTAGCTGTACGTGCACGCTGCATAAAAGTTACAAAAACAGAATTTTAAGTTAGTGTACGTCATTTACCTGATTGTTACTTAGAATAAAAAGTGAGGTTTAGGCGGATTACAAACACATTTCATCATTAATATCGGAATATTCTTAAAACGAGAGAAGTTTACCTTAAATGTCTTGCAATTAGGACACAATGTACAGTTATTGTTTACTAATTTTTATTCAACAACCCATGAACAACATAGAAACATTGAGTTATGATATATTTGGTAGCCTAATTAATAACACAACCGTTATATCAGTAGATAATTTGTTGATGTAACAATAAGTGAAAAAATATCCATCGTGATGTAAACAGATGGTGCAAATGTGCATCAGTGTAAGTTTTCACATTTTCAATCAGTCCATGGAGAGAGAGGAGATCAACAAGTGTAGCAAAGAAACATATAAAAACACGGAATAGTAGTAGAGTTGCAATAAACATATGTGAAGGATGTGTCGCACCATGTGAATGGAAAGGACACGGTAGTAAGATGTTCATAACTTTGAGAAATATGTTTTATTTAAGCTACTAAGACAGACTATGAGAAACGCGACCGAACTATTCCCTGAATATTATGGTTTGAATAGTTTCGTATATTATTGTTGGATATAAATACGTCATGACAAGCAGTTTCAGTTAGTCAGTCAGCTACAACGTAGGACCAGGCACATGTATGCATCGGTCCAAGTTGCCATACCTCATTAACACAACAAGATGGACACCGGATTCATAAAAGTAGTTAATTCAGAGGATATAGTACAGGAAGAAACAATTAGTTCGTAGAAAGAAAGATATGAAGCAATGCTAATCTCTTAGTTTAAGGGAAGATAAAGAGTGTATACACCGACGCCATTGTGAACGATTCTGAGCCATGTCACCAAGAGTCTCTAACCATTGGTTACGACAGTCACGCGGACCCCAACCAAGTAGTCTGCATCTACCAACATGGCTCAGACTAGAAGTTAGTGACTTCAAGCACTGATGCCACGTTTTGGTTTGGCCTCCCCTAACTTTCTTCCAACCATCCCGAACGCCGGTTAGCATTGCACGTCGTGGTAATCGGTGTTCGGGCATACGTAACACGTGGCCCACCCATCTCAGTCGATGAAGATTCACAAGCTCATCGACTGATTTAGCATCCTTCTCTAATACCCTGCGTCTAACCTCACTATTACTTACCCAGCGATCCCAGCATACGCCAGCAATGTTTCTGAGGCATCTGTGGTCAAATACTAGTAGCTTACGAGCAGTTTGATTACTGAGGTTATCACCACCATCAAATAATACTTGCAACAACCGAAAAGGATTGAATGCTATCTAAGACGAGGTATAATATCAATACTTTAAATGTTCATCACCAGATTGTACAAATCAAACGTACATTTAGTAGAGAACTTTTAGTACAATATTCCTGATATCCAAAAAACTACACAAATTCAGAATGGCCTTCAACTTTGATACTAATGAACATTACAAGAACTATAAATATTCTTGAGCGAAGCTTTTAATAAGGGTTTGTATTTTTCTATTTCTGACATTCAAGGTCGTATTTGATCAGTTTCTGTTAAAATGTGCATCTTGAGCGAATATCTTAATATTGGCATTCACTCACAAATTTTTGACCGATTGCAGTCTTCAGTATCAGCAATGGGAAAATAAAAAACCCATCCCCATTGAACTATGTATTAGTTATCTGAACTCCTTAGCTTAACAGATAACCCATTCGTGTGTGAAGCGATGTACACTGGATTAGAATCTCGGCGTGAACACTGAGATTTAAATACACCCAGCTAACGTGTCCCAATTACGAATTATTAACATGTGCCCTGGATTTTATATAAAATCATAATACAAAGCGAAGCAGTTTTTCAAACCTTTAATTTTACTACTGAAAAAATCTTCAATGAAGTTCACCCAAAGAGGTAATCTCCATTTGAACCGTATAGCAGAGGAAATAAGTCTAATTTAATGAAATTCCGAGACTAATGAATCTGTAGTTGCTTTGAAGAGATTTATGTAGTGCACGCAGACATAGACTATTTATGAACATCATTTATCTGCTCCATTTATACCTAGACTGCTAGGTAATACGCAGCAAATCGTATAGACATGTAGTAGCCTTAAGTATTTGAAAGAACGTACATAAATTGAGAAATGCTTTATTTCTTAAAAAATTTCCCAGAATCTGATAAAAGAACGATTCCTCTCAACACGTTGTTTCGTTATTTTTAAGCTTACAGTGAGTACTGAAATGATTTTTCATAAAGAATGCATTTCAATTAATAGATCTTCATAAATAACTCTCTAAGGACGCACGTAACCCTACAGTAAATATTATCAGCAGTTGATGTGAGTAAAAACGTTCAGTGTTTACTTGTTTATATTTAAATCCTCGTTGTTGAGTTATTCAGTTGAACTGTATCTCACTTGTCCTGGGGAAAAACAGTAGTGATAAAGTAATATAAAACCCAACTTCAAAAAATTCCAAGGACTCGAAAAGGCTGTTTAACACTCGGTTTCCATTTACACGAAAGATAAACATCTAGAAAGTACCTAGTTAAACAACGAAGAAAGGATCAAGAAGAATGAACGAATACTTTTTCTCAGCCTTCAGCTCGTCAGAAGTGAACATTCAGTATTTTAAAAGTAATACTCTTACTGAGATACATCCCTATCTTGTATTTAACCTCGAATGAACTTTGACGGTTTTTATTGCTAGTAAGTGATAAATTTATCCATTCACACAGAAACATTTGATTTTCTCACGAAGATTAAATTTGATTTAGACAAAACAATTAAATTAACTAACCTTTTCTTCTTGATCTCGAGCAATTTCAGCCTTCAATTTCTCTCTGTACAAATAAAAAGAGATGTTAAATTTTATTCATGATCATTGAATTATTGAACAATGTGATTTCTATCCAATTTGAATGAACAATTCACTTACATCTCATTACATCAGCTTAAATAATTATAGAATAAAATCATTAACATATTTCATTTGATCCTAAACACTGAAGTTTCCTAGTAAATTAAGTTTGCTATTTAGGTTCGTGGCAAATACCTGTTTTTAGTTTATGTTGCGTACAGAATTTTATATCAGATGCTCATCTATACTTTTCGGTGGAATGGTAGCTAACCTAGAAACTAGCTCGGTTCGATACTTAGTTACAACGGAAGTTGCAACCAACTTGCTAACATCAATCCTTTGGTGACGATCACTTCGTTGGCCACTGAAAAGTAAGGCAAGATTGGCGCAGATCAGTACATGATCAGAGTCCAGATAGGTACTCCAAAAGGAGCGGCAGTCTCTCACACAACCACGCCAGCGGTAGCTGATCGCGATGTGATCAATCTGAGTCCAGGCTTTAGATGCAGAGGGAGGACGCCAGGTGGCACATCGGCGATGACTGTGCCGAAAGTTAGTGCTAGCCAGAAACAGGTTGTGGTCTGTGCACAGTTGCAGTAGACGGTCACCGTTATCTGACCTGCGACCAACGAGTCCCCATCGGCCACCTAAACGACTCTCTTCTGTGCATAGACGCCCGACCTGAGCATTCAAGTCTCCGGCTAGTACTACAATATCTGTCGAACGCACTTTCTGGAGAAGAACAGATAACTGGTGGTAGAATTCATCCTTGATTGCATCCGGGCTGCAATCTGTCGGGACATAGGCGGAGATGACGAAAAGACATCGTTTCTCACGCCGATTTCTTCTCACTTTGATGGAACTTTCTAATTTAACAGCACATAACCGACTGTTAATGGGGATCCGATCGATTAGTGCTGTCTCAGCTCTAGCGCTTAGTGCGACACCAACGCCAGCAAGACCAGACGAAGATGCCACATGGTCATCGGATAAGCGCACGTAAAACAAGCTTTTTGAAGTGACAGATGTAGAGCGAATTTGTAGTACTTCGCTAGAGTCTTGAATACGGGTCTCGGATAGACAACAAACATCAATATTAAGACTTTCCAAATACATAGCCAGCCCTATCTGTTGTCCAACCTGCATAAGTGTGCGAACGTTGAAGGCAGCCAGTTTGAATGGCGCACGTGGTTTCACAAAAACTGCTTCAGTATTCATATTCGGTGGTAACATACAATTTTCAACCGGACAGTGACACGAGAACGTTTAGATACAGTTGAATTTCCACCAAAGACGAGCCGCTGTATAAGTATAAAAGAGGGTGAATAATGTGGAAAATAATAATAGGAATAGTAATAGTAATAATGACAATAGTAATAATAATAGTATTAATAATGAGAATAATTGTAATGATAATAATTTGAATCAATTGATTGTTTTTCGAAGCGAGAAAAGTAATTTCCATAGACATAGAGAGTTCATCATTTGTGTGTGGGCTGTGATACTGCCCGGGTGCCCAAACCGAAGCAGGTGGTTATCTTAGGGGGCCACTCCCCGAGCCTTTGACCTAAAGGTCTAACCCACAAGGCAGTGGAGCATCGTAAGGAGATGCAATCCCATGGTAGCCGGTGACCAACGAGTGGTTCATACGCCATTTGTTCCCGCAGGATACTGGAGCCCATGTGCACCATTGGTTTGTGATCCGGTTAAAGCGCCGAACATTCGCTTTCCGTCCTCTCATTTTCGTAAACAACACCCCCGCCACGAGAAGGCAATGAGTAAGACTTCCCTGGCAGAGACTGTATACGCGCGGCCGTGTGAGAGTATTTCGAGAGGGAGAGCGGACTCTCCCCACTCTCGCCTGTACCTAGGGCATTAGGGGGCCACAGATTAACGGGTAAACGAAGTGATATTTCATCACATATTACGCATACAGACGATATGAATTGGATCAAGAAGAGTCAAAATTACAGACAGAAGAAATTCTGCGAATCCCAAAGAACGGCGTTTATGCTAATTCATAACTAACTGAAATATTCAGATAGATACAATTTATCAGTTCATGAGTAAAATGTCAGTCGATAACATTAAGAGGCCTACTGAAAACAGACGACGAAAACACAAAAATTAAGATAGCAAGACCTGTGAAAATAACCAAGTACAAACAAGATCATCAAGACGGCATGATTTTTTCCATGCAGAATGATTAAAAAACGATAATTCCTATATGAAATAAGGGATGGTGATGTCCAGAAAGACAACCAAAGCTATGAAATTAAACCATTCGGCTTAGAGAATAGAACATTACAAAAAAGACCTTGCGCTGAAAATGCACATTACTTAAAAATTATTTAACCTTTTACCAATTTGCTATGAGGTCCCTCTAGCTTTCAAATTAATTAAATGCGTACAAAACTACCAGTGTTCACATTATCCACTGTGTGATGTATATTTATTTTTAAATTTAATATATTATAAGCTAGCTTTGATGAAACTGAGGAAGATAATTAACTAGATCAACCTTTATCTCTTAAATGATAATGTGATGAAAATTAGTGAGCAAGTAGGGACTAATATACTCAGTTATGGGGAATACCTTTTGTGTGTTTGTGATAATACCTAGCAACACAAATTGAAGCAACCAAAACAGGGTTTTAACTCAAAAACGATCAATTGGAAGTTTAGTACTTTAATCAGTAAGTTATTCCTAAAACCTTAATGATGAAGCCAACATAATCCTTAAAAGAGAATATTCAACATATACACTATTCATTACAAAACAAACAGAAGTCAATGTGAAGTCTTGTGCACATATATAAGTATTCTCAATGTATAGTATAGTGAACGAAAACAGTAGTGCAAAATGAAGGCGAAAAACTAACTCTAATCAGATTCTACTTACAGATAAGCTCGATCCTCCTCTTTTTCACGCTTTTTTTGTTCGACAAAACGACGTACTTCATCTTCTTCGAATTTCGCTTTAGCTGAACTTAGTGTCTTGTGTTGTTGACGCCTTTTCTTTTCACACTCAATCTCTTCGTGTCTCTCTTGTTCTTCTCTTTGGGTTTTCTTGGCCCGCAGAAGTTCCTATCAATATTTACATACATAAAATGCAGCAACTATGAACAATAGACTACTTGTTCATGACGGAGTTTTTTATACATACTATAAGATGATAGCAAATTAACATGACAGTTTGATCAAACAAACTTATTTGACTAGTTGTATAACATTAATGGAACCTATTGATTAGGGATTTCTTGTTATTAATGTTATGAGTTTGTGTAGCTTGGTGGAGGGAGCTAATTCAGATTAGAGGCTTTTCTATCATTCGGATACACAAGTATACTTCTCATTATAATAATTGCCATTTACGATCGGGTTTCGTAAAATTCATAAACCTACGTAAAAGGAAGAATGAACTACAACGGTAAAAATGAATGTACTTCATGTCTGATTGATATTTATCCCATTAAACACAGCAGCCCACTAGAAAAAACAGCAGATCGCAAGAAAATGGTTGAAGAAAACGAGAAGTCAGTAAATATTACAAATTGTAATTACTCCTAACAACACAATTGAACTTACTTTAATAACTGTATTAACCGATAACAGGACAAATAAAAAGATGTCTTAATTAATCTTATCAGCTGAACATTAGTTATTAACCGAAAAACAAATGAGCTATACGGAAACAGAAATAACGTGGAACAAGAAAAAGACGGACTGATGGTTACAGTTAATGTCCGTACAATAAGGGGAAAATAGAAACAAAGGGAATGAAGATAATTGTTTCAGCAACACCAGAGAACTGTTAAGCAGGAGAAACAAGTTAAAATGGACAACGAAGTAACACAAAGTTAAAAAAAGCATTCACCATTTACAACAAAACTGTTTCGAAAGAATGAGTGAACTAGAACGAGTTGATTTTTCTCGACCCTTTAATATTATACCATAAATAGTCGCGATTTCCTCTCGGGAGAAAATCCGGCTTCAGAGTTTCCCACACCTATGAAAACATATGTAACATTGTTAACTGTACATTCAGATACGGACTAGAGTAGACAATCATAATCAAATATCAATCAAAAGTAATGAGATTGGAGATATTATATGAACTACTCATAGCATTCATGTAAAAAGGCTAAATCCTGTATCATTGACATATTCACACTAAAGCGAGTGATAAACTATTTTTAACAAAAGCCATTTACGGCATACAAACTAGAAATAAAGAATTCTACACTCAGACAGAAACCTGAAGTTTCTTCATTTGTTCCCTACGTTCATCTTCTGTCAGTGATGAGACTGCATCTGAGCACTGTGAATAATTGACGTGTCCTGTACGAGCACTATGCACCTGAACTTCATCTTCATTTCTGAGACACTTATCGCAACTAAAATAAAATTAGAAAGTAATATGAAAGCTACTCATCACATTTGTAAGATAATGGTAAGTCCGTTGTCTCATTTTCCCTGGTTCCGTTTATCCCCTCTTATTGAAAGCATTTATACAGCCTACTAAATAAATAGTACCTTTTTCCTCATCACCACTATCATTTTCTACAATCCTGAAAAATAACGACTTAGATGAATCGAGAATACCCACCATTCCATGGCCTCCTCTAATCCTTTGTTGCCAGAAAACTTTAAAGCCTTTTCCCTGAATGAAATTAGCATGGTTAAGAAGTCAGACAAACGCTCTAGCTTGTGTGAAGCCCATCTCCATCAGCTGTTCCAATACCGACGACATTGCGAAGAATGTAACTGACGCTCAATAAGAAAACTCTAACAAGTAAGGATTATATGTATAAGATATTGAAATGATACTAGAACCTTGCAATATATTTTCAAGAGTCCCAGAAACGTCTTGGAAACTTTGAATCACGCAACGAGATGTTGAGAAAGAGGTGATCCAACTAACGTCAACGACCTTGGTCCGAATTGTTCAAATGTTAAGCTTCCGCTTACAGGCTTCCGTATCTAATAGCAGTGGATCACCGATGCCTCCATGTAAGAACCTCGGTATATTTAATGATAAAGAAGACTTTCGAAAAGTTGGTAAATTATAAGGAGATGCTGTCTTTAGTCCTTAAGAAGGTTTCAAGTTTCCTCTTAAAGTACTCCTGGGAAGTCACTAGGACTAGCTCAGCAGTGAGCGAATTCCATCATTTGACTACTTTTAAGGAGTGTAAAGTGTGACTACAGACCGTTCTGCTGTGTTGAGTTCCCAGTTTCTGGGTGTTAACCCTAAGGGACTAAACTTAATCAGATGTTTAAGCGGACGCCCATAAGTGTGTAGCGGTAAATAAATCCCCAAAATAAATAGCTCTGTAAGTTTTCGACATTGGATGCTGACCAGATTAGTTTTAGTGGGATCACCTAGCTGAAGGCGCTCGGTCATGCATCCACACCAGATCACGTGTGGTAACACTGTGCTCAACGTCTACCGCAATCGCTAGCCAGATTAGATCAGACAATACCGATTTATTGGTTATCGCCAAATACACTCTTCCAATCTCCTCGACTCTGTCTTTTGATTTCTCTTGGTGGGTACGAATCATATTAGGTGTTGCTGGTAAAAGCGTTGTCAAACACTGAATACCTGTGCCATCTTCATTGGTGAGCCCGACGTGATCTGGCACACCTAATTGCAACTGTGAGTCTGTTCCTTTTTGGGATTTTTATATATTATCGCCTTACTGTTTTTTAATTTTTATACATTGTGATATTTTTCCCCGTGTCTCAGGATATCTATATTTTTCCCTCGTATTCTCGTACTTAATATTTCCCTATGACCGAACAGACTCCTAAAGTATATAAGATTAAGACCATGTCCCCACCCTCGTTCCAACTCATGCCCTTTCGGCCCGACAATATCAAAGCCTGGTTCAGTTACGCAGAAGCCGACTTCCACGAGCACAGCGCGAACGACACACGTGCGCAATTCCTCGCAGTAGTCAAGGCAATACCGCGGGAATTCGACAGGTACGTAACACCTAGTATGTTTACTAGTGATGTTTCTGAACCTTACGAAACCTTAAAGCGTTCGATTCCTAAACGAGGAGACCTAACCGATCGACAAAGGTTAGATAAACTTTTTAATAACACAGACCTGCGGCACGATTCTGCGACGGACATGTTGCAAAGGATGATAGAGGTTATAGGCTTAAGAACTTTCGGCGAAGGACTATTCAAACAATTTTTCTTGTCCAAACTTCCCCAACAGGTGCAAGCGGTTATGGTCTCGTTTCAGAACAACGCCTTAAACGAACTGGCTGCATCTGCCGATCGTATTTTAGAAATTACGAAATCTTCTACTACCGAGATATTTTCTGTCAAAGAAAATCCTCAGACGACTCAGAATGGCATAACAGAGTTATGTCATACACTCACGCGTTATCTTAACCTTCGTAACGACCGTAAGCGCTCACACACCCCACGTAGAAGCACTTCACGTAAGCGATCTGTCTCTAGAACAGGAGAGACGGATAATTCCGACTGGTGCTGGTATCATAACCAGTATGGAAAGTCTTCCAGAAATTGCAGAAAACCCTGCAATTTTCCCAACTCAAAACCGACCGACTCGAAAAACAACTCGGGAAACTTCCAAGCCGGCATGCGTTAACGGCAACCGTAGCCAACGAACAAAGCCGTCTGTTATTCGTCACAGATGTGACAACGACAGTTCGCTACCTCGTCGACACTGGAGCAGAAGTTAGCGTTCTCCCAGCGAATTCCAACGACCGACTTCACGAATCGGTTCTAAACTTACAGGCGGCAAACGGAAAACCGATCGCAACGTATGGCAAAAGGTACGTTAACCTTAACGTGGGTTTACGCAAACCCATTCACTGGATCTTCGTTGCTGCAGATGTTTCCATGCCTTCTACAACATCATAATCCAATCATCGACACGCACAAACGGAGGCTAGTAGATGGAAACGCTAATTTATCTGTTTGCGTAACTTCTTTTTCTGGTTGCAAATTATCCCCAGTCACAAATAAGTACACAATAGACGCATTTTATCAACCACTACTCGACAAGTATCCTGAGATTCATCAAACGCAACCGAGCAACGTTATACATCACATCACGACTACAGGACCACCTGTATTTTCTAAAGCACGACGACTAGCTCCTGAAAAGCTAAGGTTAGCGAAAAACGAGTTCGACCATATGATAGACTTAGGAATCATACGACCGTCGAGTAGCCCATATGCATCTCCGTTGCACATGGTCCCTAAAAAGGACAGCAACGATTGGCGTCCAACTGGTGACTATCGGCGATTGAACGCGAAAACCATTCCCGATCGTTACCCGTTGCCTCACATTCACGATTTGACAGCTACCTTGAAAGGTACAGCTGTCTTTTCGAAAATCGACTTGGTTAAAGCGTATAACCAAATCCCCATGGCCACAGACGACATACCGAAAACCGCCGTTATTACCCCCTTCGGACTCTATGAATTTTTGCGAATGCCTTTCGGTCTAAGGAACGCTGCTCAAGCATTCCAAAGATTCATAGACGACGTTTTTCGAGGTCTCAACTTCGTACACGCGTATGTTGACGACTGTCTAATCGCAAGTCCGGACAGAGAAACACATCTCAAGCATCTGGATCTTGTTTTCGAACGACTACAAAAACATGGGATTACTGTAAACGTTCAGAAATGCCAAATTGGAACCGACTCATTAGACTTTCTGGGACACACTATCGATGCTCAAGGTATCCGACCCCTTATAACCAAAGTGGCGGCCATTCTGGATTACCCAGAACCGACCACCATTAAGCAATTACGCACGTCTAACGGCCTCGTAAGTTTCTATAGACGTTTCATACCGAAATGCGCATAACTTATGAAACCTCTTACCGACCAACTTCGTGGAAATGCGAAATCGATTAATTTGGACGACACCGCACGAACAGCATTCTCCACAGTTAAGGAACTGATCGCTAAAGCAACAATGCTCACACATCAGAACACCGAAGCACCCATTAGTATCGCAGTAGACGCATCGGACTCGGCAATCGGTGGCGTCTTACAACAATGGGTTAACAACTCCTGGCAACCATTGGCATTTTTCTCTAGAAGGTTGCTAGACACCGAATCAAGGTACAGCACATTCGGTAGGGAACTCTTAGCTATGTATTGTGCTGTACGGCAATTCCAACACTATATCGAAGGCCGTGAATTCACTCTTTTCACGGACCATAAACCGCCCACTTTCTCGTTAAGCTCTCCTTCTGACAAGTACTCTCCCCGTGAGTCTCGAAAACTGGACTACATTTCGCAGTTTACTTCAGACATTCAACACATCTCTGGAGCAAACAATGTAGTCGCAGACGCCTTATCTCGCATAACTTCCTTGAACAGTTTCCAAGGAATCGACCTTCTGAAACTCGCTGAGCTTCAAAAACAAGACACTGATCTTCAGCACGAGTTATCGTCCACAACCCTTAAACTACGCATCAAACAGATGGTAACAGGTAAGGAAACCTTACTTTGTGACACATCTACAGGTAGGGATCGCCCAATCGTGCCGAAACATTATCGACGCAATGTCTTCAATACATTGCACAAACTTTCTCATCCAGGCGTCCGTGCAACCATTAAGCTCATAGCAGGACAGTTTTGCTGGCCTGGCATGAATAAAGACGTGAGGGAGTGGGCACGCTCTTGTGTAAGCTGCCAAAAATCTTAGGCTATCAGGCACAATAAATGTCCCTTAGGCTCATTTAAAACTCCCGATGCTCGTTTCGACCATGTTCATCTGGATTTGGTAGGACCTTTACCAGATTCAAATGGATGCTCTTATCTCTTAACCTGCGTAGACCGTTTCACTCGATGGCCAGAAGCAGTACCTATCAAGGACATCACTGCTGAAACAGTGGCTCGCACCTTCGTCGAATGATGGGTAGCAAACTTTGGCTGCCCTTCAACCATCACTACAGACCGCGGACGTCAGTTTGAATCCGATCTTTTCCGTCGTCTGACCACACTTTTAGGAATCACTCGCTTCCGAACGACCGCCTACCATCCACAAGCAAACGGGTTGGTAGAACGTTTTCACCGACAACTGAAAGCTTCGCTATCAGCTGCAAACGTTTCACAGTGGACCGACGCTCTTCCACTCGTCTTACTAGGTATCCGCAATGCAGTGAAAGCTGACATTGGATACACTGCGTCTCAACTCGTTTATGGAACGACACTTCGACTTCCAGGAGAATTCGTGGATCCTTCATCCTCTTCAATGAACATGGATCTAACCTCCTACACGAACAGGCTTACAAACGCAATGCGTTCAGTTAAACCTGCTTCCACTCGACCTCAATCAACTGATGTTTTCGTTCAACCTGACTTACGATATAGTACACACGTTTTCATTCGTCGAGACTCGCATCGACGACCATTCGAATCAGCATACTAAGGAACTTACAAAGTTCTTCAACGTGAATCTAAGTACTATCTAGTCGATAAGAACAGAACAAACGACAGAATCAGCATAGATCGCTTAAAAGCAGCGTATTTAGAAGGAAATCCTATTCACGTTGACTTTCCTTCGGTACAATCGCACAACATGACTCCTAGACTCATAATTCCTCAACCGACAAATAACACTAGCGATGAGACTCCAAATGTATCTGAAAATAAACTTAAGACGACGCGTTCTGGAAGAAGAGTAAGATTTCCAGAACATTTAAACGACTACTGCACGTAAGGCACTACTCGACATTTTATATTATCTCGATCTTTCTTTTTACGATACATAATATTTTTAAAAACAATTTTAATATGCTTATATATTTTTATTATTATTTCAAAAAAACAAACAAGCAAAAACATAACGTTTTTTTACGCTATTACGTGTGCTAGAGTTTATTTTCCTTTTTTTCGCCGATATTGTGTTTTCACGCACAAACGAGTGTATTTCGACATGCACTTACATTTTTTTCTTTTCCAGGACGGCTAGAAAAGAACGATGAAGTTTACGAGGAGCCGAAATTTTCATTGTACTTTTTCCATTTTTACTATTTTGTACCTCGATTCCATATAGAAATGAAAGACGACCA